TCAGATTCATAATAACCAATCATAGCAAAACTATTTTTACGTATGACCAGGAAATCTACATATGTGTAGAGAGTGTGTTCATATTTAACCATATAATTGTGAATAAGAAACTGTATCTCACTTGAGGCAAACTAATGCTTATTCTATATTTTTAGATTAATCTCAATAGGTTCATTTTTAAAATGACATCAGTCTTTCAAACAAGGTAAACACAATAGATACAGTTTATGGTTGCTACGGATATAGAATTTTATAATTATTAAATTTGTTCTCAATATTCCTGAATATAAGAATGTTTATGTCTTTTTGAAGTCTTTACGCCCTTGTATAGAGATACTTGTATTTTCATAAAGCTGCTGTGACTGTGGTGAAAAAATAATGGTTACAAGACATGGTTAAGCTTTAGAAAATCTATTCAAAAATAACAATGCAGTATGACAAGATTCAAAATACATTAAAAATATTTATTAAATTAATTTTTTAGATTGTTTTACATTATATGATAAAATATTATTTAGCTTGGACGGTTAGTTTATAATATCAGTAGAGTGAACGTGTTATGAGATGAACAAATTTACATGGCCCAACGTATAGGATGAGCTAAACCTGTTCGTTTTTTTAGTGTTAGCATACAAATAGACTAAAGAAAACAATTAGAAATTTTCCTAATATCTAGAGATTTATACGTATATATATGCACACTTATTTTCTATTTGGTAGTAACTACAATACGTATACAATTTAGTAGTAACGTTTTAAAAAATATTAAATGTTGAATGTAAACTAAACCATTGCTGTATAAGAATGATATATAATAACTATAACTATAATAAGAGGCTAATAGCAGCCATATATGCAGAACCAGAGATTATATGGATATTTACCTTAGTAGTATACGCAGATAAACAAAGAATATGTTTTAAAAGCATCATTTGAGGCTTTTTGGTAAAAATCTTGTTGGACGAAAATATTTTCTTTGTTTTTATAACGTAAGCAGTAACTTTAAACTTACTTATGTAAGTTACTGCTTATGAATAATTAAGATATCCTTTAAACTGAGGCTCTGATCGTCACTGGACTTCAAATCTTAAAATACTTTGAATGTACGACTATATCACACCCACGACTATATCATACCCACGACTATATCACACCCACCTAAGGCGTGTATCATTACCCTCAATCTGTTCGGTGTCCTTAAATTTACAAGTTCTGTTATTTGTGTCTGCAGCCGATTCGAAGTGAATCTAATATAACATTGGTTGTAACAAGGACAAGTAATCAGATAAACCATGTTTAATGAAAACGACATCCTAGTTTCAAAATAAATCTTAAACGTGTATGCGGGTAGGTTCTCTGAAGGATACGCAGCTATTTTTAATTATATATCATAATACTTAGGAAAGACATTATTTCATGAGAAACTCTGAATATTATCAAGCTCTTTATGCGCCCTACTGTGACTCAGTGGTAAGGGCTTATGACACTAAAATTTGGGGTTCCATCCTTGATGTGGACACTGCATAGATAACTAATTGTGTGGTTTTGTACTTGACAATGAACAAAGCCCTTTATGAAAGAACTCATAGATGCTTGAAATTCACTATGAATTAAGTGTATTTGTTTGTAGTTAAGCGCAAAGTTACACAATGAGTTATCTATTCTGTGCCTACTACGGGTATCGAAACCCGAGTTTTAGCGGTATACGTCCACGGATTTACCACTGAACAACTAGGGGGCATAAATTAAGACCTCAGTTAGGTTTCCCTTGAATAAAATTGGTATATAGCTTGTGACGGTAAAAAATATCAGAAAATTAAAACATTTTTATTGAAAGCTTCACATTTAAAGTTTCCATCATAAGTCTGTGATCTTGCTGATGTTCCACATTGAATCGAATAATATTATGCTTACTATTTAGATACTCCCAGGGGCGTATTGGGGAATAAAATCGGATCGGAAAAATTTATTTTATTCTGGCTCTCCAACAGGGTCGAATAAGAGGAATTCCTGAAAAAACTGAGCAGGGTACTGAGCATGATGCTTGATAGCCTATATTGTGTAATAGTACTATTTATTTAGTTCACAGATTAAAGAAAAATTTATTGTAGAAAACGTTTAGTAACAAGCTAATATTTATTACTAGTCTTATTAAAGTATAAACCTATATTATCACAAAATTGCATGAACTGAAACTAATTCGTACAAAAATAATTTTAATGGAGTAATTTAATTACACGTTTATCGTTCATTAGCCGTTAGAGGAAATTGAGCACCCAATTAAGCCCAATTTAAATAATGTTAAAAATTCATACTTTTTAGACATATCGTTAGCCCAATTCGCCCCAGATAATCCAAGAATAGGTGAATATAATTAGGATTCTTAACGGTGATGAAAGTGTCATCTGCGTAACATCTGAAAGTGTCATCTGCGTAACTTGTTAAACATTAGTTCAACGTATAATTGTATAAAATCATAAATAATATTCAACGTTAAACTGGCACACAGTTTAAAACATTTTATTTAGGCCTATCTATGGCCTTCATAGACTCTACATGTTTCGAGGATGACGTTGTAACGTCGAAACATGTAGAGTAGTCAGCTTTTAATACAACCGATATTAAAATAATTGTCACACCCAACGAAAAATCTTTATATCATAAAGTCGTTGCGACTCCCATTCTTGAGATAACCTTTGGTACGTTTCACTGCGAAATGTGTGTCGTTTAAATTCATGTAGTAAACTCTTAATCAAGTGAGAAAATACAAGTTAAATGCTAAAATTCCTACGACCAAAGATGTCGACGTGACATAGTAATTAGAGGGCAGAAGTGAAAGTTGTTTTAAATAACCTATGTGTTAGAACAGCTAAAGAATAGAGAAAGAGAAAAAACACGATATTATATATATTGAAATAAATAAATGAAACATTTCTGGGAATGAACATTCCCCTTTTAGATCATTTATATTTCGTGGGAAGATCATCTGTGTGTTGTCAGTCTTTCACCAACTTTTAATGACATTTAATTATAGCTTTGGAAGATCAGTAGGTTTCAAACAGAGAGTTTTTTTTTTTGCAAATGATGCTTACAGCATTGGTAAAATTAATGAGAACGTTCGTGATTCTGATTCTTAAAACAGTTCTATCTTTTGTTTTCGCTGTAGACGCCACTGTGAATCTAAAACACAACAAAGTTGTGACTACTAATATGCAGTTATTAATATAATATTACATTATAATAGTTATTCCAGCTAACGTGATAGGAATT